CCCCCCCCGTCCTGGCATCAGCCACATAACATACTAGAGCTAAAGGCTTCCAGCTCACATACACACTCATGCAAGAAATGCATTTATATAACACAGCACAAGAACAAAAATCAAAAATTAAATGTCCAGAAAGAACACCCACATCTTCTCTTCTTTACCAAATACAGGCTAGGTTTTCCACTAAATGCTTTATTTGAGATTCACTGGAAGATAAATATTCTAATTTAAAAGGTTTCTTTCATTATGATGAAGGATGGCATAAGGAGAAAAAAGATGCAGAAGACAAATTCCTTCTGCTCTTAGGGAAGGCTACTGAATCAAAGGTACTTGCAAGTTGATTATGATACCGTTTCACAAGTTACATTAACAACTTCTATTAACTGCAGCAGTTCTTGGCCTCCTTGAAAAAAACCATCTTGTTCTAGACAACTGGTCTGAATATACAGTCCATGGCAAAGGGAAGTTGCCATGTTGTCAAGTTGCTGCTTCCTCAAGTTTCAGATTCATTCCTTAAGATGATGATGATGATTCTTCAGCAGGAACAACATGACTCAAAACAGTCACTGCCTCCACAATGCCTTCTAGCATAGGAGGTAGCAAAGAAGGAAATCCATTAATCTGGTTGAAGCTTTCTAAGGAGCTCTTTGGAAGAGACTTGGTTCAGGAGAAGCTTTATTTCCAGCCTACAGAAAGTGAACCTTGATAGGAATTAAGTCTACTATATTCCCCAAAAATCAAGGAAAGGATCTGTCATAATCAAAAGCCACGCATTCTAAAATATCTCTGCTAATGGAAGAAACGCCAGTGCTCACAGAACCTCATTTTCAAATGCACCATTGGTATTTATGTAAAGACCTGAGTTTGTGATTCCAAAAGTTTCTGTAAAATTCATGAAATACAAAACACACATCTTGAAAAAAAACTATAGTACTTAACTGTCTCTTTCTCTTGCCAAGAAGACAAAAAGTTCTCAAGTCTCTCAAAGATTACTTGCATCTTAACTTTATTTCTGTTTGACAGTCATCATTTAAAAACCAAAACAAGACGTTCGCCGGTTGTTTTTACTGCTCCAACAAGTAAAAGTCACGTGACTTGGAATGGATATGACAGCATATATGTGAAGGCACAGATAAAGTGAACAGGCAGATGTGACAGAACAGGATGAGCATAAAAACAATCCCTAAGCTACCACTACCTCACTGAAGTAAGGTACATTTAGCAAGTGAATGATGTTAAGTTGTAAAAGTCAGGAAGCCTTCCAGATGGCAAACCTGCCTCCCAAGATGCAGCTCCTGACCATCTTTCTTTGGCTATAATAAAGGAATTTTTACACTGAATAAGGCACAGAGAAGTGTTACACATTTAGTTTCTAAAAGTAGTTAAAAACATTATTATCTCAATACTACTGCCAAGACTTCCTACTACCTAAAGGTTACACTTCAGAAAGGTTTAAAGGTTTAAAGTGTGTTTTCCACTCTTCCAACAGTTTTCACTGATCTCCTCAAATATCAGAGGCTAGATGATGCTATACACTTCTGTGCACTATTTATATGCACTGAGGTGGTATCAAATGAGTCAGACACCAGAAACACACACATACCCCACTCCTCACTCCCTGCAGCAGGTTTGTAAAGAATGATGAACTGTTGCATTAAGTGCATCAGAATAAAACTCGAACAAGTAAAGCACAAGTCTAAAATGCCAGGCTGCTTTCAAAATGAGGTAATGCAGAACTTGATGTTGCACAGTCTCTGACAACCCCTCCACACACCACTGATCATTGCATCAGCTGATTACCTGCAAATCCTTCTAAATAAAACACTTTCACTATAGCACTGACTCTGAATACAATGAATGAGGGTGTCCTGCTAAAACTGTTCAGTGCAGTCTTTTAGCTCAGAGCCAAGCACACGAAGTGCTATCCCAGCTATGCCTAGCAACACTTCCTTTGGTGTGACATTCAAACATCATCTTGAAATTACTGGCCAAATATAGTTTTAGTTTTACTAAAAGGATACTCAGAAACGGCTGCCACTAAAATATTCAGTGTAATAGCAGATCTGAAGCAGAAGACTTGATTTTATATTATGATCTCCAAAAGGATTGATACTCCCAATTTATGGAAACTAAGGCCAGCAGAAGTAAAGGGCTTGCCACAATCTGTGGGATATCCAGTGGAAAACTGCAAACTTTTGTTTTCTGGAGAGTGATGATAAACAAAGCTACCTTGCTTCACAAATAGTATTAGGAAGAACTTACACATTTGTTAGGTTTGAGCTTTTTGTGTGGAGGACTATAGAAATTAATCTGTCCTAAGAAGTGTCAGGAACTGTAACCATATTTCAATATTTGTTTTCTAAGGAGTTACCAAGTGAACCATGGAAGAAGACACAAAAAATTACTTGCTTAATTGAAACCACTGCAGTAAAGAACTGCCAGTCAGTAAATGAAATTCAAACATTACATTTCTCTAATATTTTTATAAAGAGTATCCCAAAGATAACTTACATTCATAAACATAGAAGAAAATCAAGAGCAGCTATTTAGATCTCTGGTTAGAGTTATTGCTCAGATTTGTCCATGGCAAACTTGTTAAAATTACCAGAAAAAAAACCCCGCACATTTCAAAACAACCATTAGGCAAACCTATACTAAAAACCCTAACAATCAATATAACTTCATTGTATATAATTTCATCAATCACGGCACAAAATGTTTACTCCTGAAGAATAGTGTTTAAGAACACCTGTCCATTATGCACATGATAGTAGTTCTATCATTATGTTCCAATACTTCAGCTATCTTTTCTTGCCACATGGTATGCAGCAGAGAGCAAGGATTCTTGTTTCACTCAGTTTCAAGAGTTACAAACACCCACTGGAAAAAATTAACATTACTAAAAACCTATCTGTTCCTTAAGATGGTACTCCCTCAACTGTAACTGAAATCCCTTTTGCAGTTTGAAAAACCTGTTGATGTACACAGAAGGAAGGCAGTATTTTAAACAGCCTCTCAGCTCAGTGCACAGTACAGACACTGTAAAAATTCATTTGTCATCAGCACAGCAAATTTAACACATCAAAGAGCCAGTGCTCACACGAAGTCTGGAGGCTGCACTTGGCCAATGTGCATGAGCATGGATGGGGGGTCAGCACACTAACTTTGCCTCAACACTAGATTACCAGTGCCAGACTCGAATGGGCAGCTTTTGCTTGCAAGGAAGTTACAACTCCAAGCTCTTTACCTTTGGCAACTCCAAAAAACTCCACAATACTAAACCTCCACAGAACTAAAAATTATACACATAATTAAAATGCAGTTGGTAACATTCATAAAATCAATTTCACAAAGGATGGTATGATTGCATGTGTATCTGAAAGACAAATTCCAACAACCAAAAATTCTACTGCAACACACAGCAATTCTGAAATAATTGTTTTCCATTTACAA